AGATGACTTTCCTTTGAGTTAGTTTCTGAAGTAGGTTTTATCTGTGCACTCACTGTGGGTCTCCTTATAGCCCCAATACCAAAACATGACTCCAGGTAGTCTTGGTAGTATATTATTTTGGCAGCACAGAAGATAAGGAATGCCAGCTATTAATGTCTCACTATGATTTCAGGTTTCTTCTTAACAGGTGATGTTAGACTCTGTTCTGGACAGGCACTTATGTCACTTGGGATATTGGCTTCATGCTCTAGCTTGTTTGATCACCTGAAATTTAAAGCAAGGCTACTGAGCATTGTCAATATTTTCTTTATTCTGATTATCATATCTCCGTGGTTTGTCATCCTGTTAAAATGAGGTGAAATAGAATATATAAATATRTTGTAACCTTCTTCTCATTTTCATTTTATCACAGTGCAGTTATTTTGTGCTCGTGAGTCATCTCTGTTCTGGTCTCATCACAGGTTGTCTGCTAAAAAGTCATCCACTGCGCAGTTCCAGCACAAGACATATTTTCTCTCTGTTTACTTCTTTGCTGCTATTGCTCATGTCCTTGGCTCTCAATGCACACCATTCATTTAAATATTCTGTTTTTCCTTTTTTCATCTTTTGTTTTCAATACAGGTTTTTCTACTCCTGCTTCATTACTGTCATTGTCAATAGTACATTGGCAGCACTTTGCATGGTTATAACAACTTTTATTTGTTTGCTTAACAGGAAAAACTAAATTCTAACTGGATTTCACAGTACTGCTGTATAGGCATTTAAAAAATAAACCTTGGGTTTATTTACAGCTTCTGTTACTACTATAGAAAATGAAATAATTTTAAAAGAAGGGAAAGCACTGCGTTGCACACAAATGATGCACTAGTTAAAATATGAAGGCACACTATTTTAATGAAAATGAGTATTTTAGCATTTCTAAATCCTTGTGTTTTCAATAGTTTGTCACATAGCTTCTTACTTAAAAAACGTATCCACTAGAATTCCTTAGAGATGAATGTTTACTTTTTTAAATTCATGGTTTTAAGTAACTCTGTTTGCATTTGTGTTTTAGGTAGCTTATGTGGGATTAAGATATTGGGMAATAAGGAAATTCTAAATTGCTTTAAGGCTATTCAAAATACTGACCATTTAAATTCTCAAATTTATAAACACACAGTGCAAATAAAGGTAATTTCATTAATATTCCAATGGCCTGTAAAAACTTATATGTGMATAATAATACATAGAACTTCATATAGTTCTTAATAATGGTTATTGTATTAGGATATTTATTAATATTTAAATAATTATAATATTCTTGAGATATCTAGAGATACAATATATAAACAATGTCCATTTGTGTATCAATTAAGTGGGACATTTCACATAACCATTTCAGAACATGTTTTAATTGTGTTCATTGCCACCCTTGGTTATCAGAATGCCAAGAGCAAAAAGGTAGGTGCCGTTGTGGGTACCACCTCAGTAGAACACTGAAATGCAGTTAAGTCAGAGATTGCTATAACTAAATGTTTTTTAAACCTATTCAACATTTTTCATTGTTGTTTCTTGTATTTTTTTATTTCTTCTCTTAGATCACAGATAGTGGAGTTTTTTCTCTTGCACAGCATTGCTTGCTTTTTGTGTGCCAATGAACGAACTGTTTTATTGCTGTGAAAAGCCACTTATTTTGCAGCAAGAAGTTTGTGCTGTAAAGCACAGCCAACACAAGGAATTGCTGATATATGGTATTTTCACACTCTCAGAATTCCTGCATGTAATGAGAAATAGTTCCCATTCACAGCAAAATACATGAAGGCTGTGCTCAGGAATCCAGTGAAAATGGGCTGCTCGCATGGAGCTTCTGCTTATGAGCTACATTTTGTCCCCTACTTAGTAAAATAATTCTGTTGTACTAGGAAGGCACKCCAGTACTGTTATTTATCCTCCTGTAAACCCGAAACAAGCAAGCAATTTCTGCTTGGTGATAATACTTTTAATGTCTAATTTTCTGTGTAGTTCTTGAGAGTTGTTGGAGGAAACCTCATTTTCTGGTAGCATTGTGGGCCATTAACTGGAATTGCAGGTAGCCATGCAGAATACAATGGAATTCCACATAAAAAAGAATTCTRTCAGTTGTTTCATAATCTAATCAGTCTGTTTATTTCAATTTATCAACGGTTGTTACTTTGGAAGTAATGCTCTGGCATTATGGGCTGCAAATAGTGAATTAGGGTTTATATTAAAACTTATTTGAAAAATTACATGAAGATATTACCTAACCACAGTTCTGCACTGAAAAGTTTGTAGTGAAATCCTCTTAATTCAGCCTTGAAGATACACATGTGGATGCCTTGCTGTGAAGGTGAATATCTGGAACACTGACCACAGTGAAAGTCAGAATTTACTAACTAACTGTTACTTAAAGGACAGAGCTTAAGCCTATGTTAGTATCACAGTGATGAGGATAATCAGATTTTGCTTAATATTACATATCTTGTACAGAGTAAGATGCATATCTCTTTGCTGGTTTTTTTTTTTTTTTGTCTGCAAATAACAGTGCTTTTAAATTAATATTAAACAGAATATTTAGAAGATGTTTTTGTCATCTCTATGCGAGGACGGATTAAAAAAAACCAGAATAGCTAGTTAAAACTCTGAGATGGATTAAAATAATGTAAATAAAACTTTGTTTTGGTGATAGGCATCAAGTACAGTGTGTACTGTTTTTGCTGAAAACTCTAGAATTTTGTGCAGTGCATCACTCTGAAAATCAGCAAGTCTACATCAGTTTCTGATGGTATTGAATTGCATTGGAAAGTAACAGGCTTGTGCTTTGTGAGTTTGATATATTCTAATGTAAGGAACTGAGCAGCTTTTAATCTTGGTCCGAAACAACTTGATTCAAATGTTGACCTTAATCTAATTGCATGAGCATATGGGAAACAAATTTATGACATGTATTATTTTTTCTAAAATTGATGAATATGTTTGGGTTTTTTTGTTTAAGGTTTTTCTTAGGTTTACTGTTGTCTTTAGTACCTTGTTTCTTGAGAACATGGTTTTACTATTGATTGTGGAGATCACTAACTTATTTATACAAAGAATTTATATGAATTGTGAGGATTAAAATTTACACTGCTTTTATTACAGCAGGTTTCTTTCAAATAGAGAAGGGGTTTTTTKGGGATTTGTTTCTGGTTTTTTTTTGCTTGTTTGTAATTTTCCTTTTTTGTTTATTTATTTGGAGTTCGCAGAATATCAAACTGAGTTTATCTGCCTTTTCAGTTTCTCCTACACCAAGTTGTTAGGAGCTCTTAGTCTTCACTATTGAAACATTGGTTGGTTGAGAGTAGGGCTTTTTAAAGATGGTTTTGTATGTATTTTATAAGTGGCCTTGATTTACTGCTCTGATTCAAGTAATGCTGCAGTTTGTCAAGATGGCAATACTTCACATTCATAAAGGCATATAGTCATACTTACTGATTAAAAATGATCCCTGTGTAGATAGCAGTGAGGTCTCAGCATATAAATAACAAAATTTTTATCTACTCTTTGTGTGTTGGAGGGGGGAATTGCTTAAAAGTTATTTTTAGCTGTCTTCTGTAACCAGAATAATGCTGTTTACATGTGCAAGAAATTTAATTGGAGCATTTATCTTACTTCCCTCTGCCAATACCTACTTTTTATCTATTACCAGACTATGTCGGTAACCTCTCAGATTAAAGAAGACATGATTATAACCCAGTCTGCAATAGTTATCTGTCATTTTTCATTGGAGTTTAAAATCCAGTATCCCAAGATTCACTCATCTGACTTGGGAGATGTAGTGTGTGTAATCATATGTTGCAAAACAGATATAATTTCAAATTCACKGCAGAGTCAGGGCAATCCAGTCACCTCTTACTCTCCCATCCTTGTGTTCCCCAGTCTGGGAGTGAAGGGCAGCTCCAACATAATGTCTGAAGTCATTATAGTAACACATCATAACATCTGACTTTTTTTCTTTGATATTGTCCTACCTTATTTCTGACAGTATTCAATAGAAATATACATGGCCTTCTAAAAAAAAAAAAAATCACATGAAACTTTTAATATATGGCATCATTTCCCATTGCTAAGAAAAGGCAGTGTATAAAATTGTGTAACAGTGCATAGTTTGCAAGAAAGAATCCTTATTGTCAATTCAATCCTAAATTAAAAGAAACAAATACTGGAGCAATGACTGGCTACTCACTAGCAAATAATTGTGTGATATGAAAAGCTCTGCTGTGATTGTTTTGTCTTTACTTGTAACAATGAAATCTATTTTAGAAAAATCTTCAATACATTTATATCAGTCAGAATATAGCTTTTCAGTGTTSGTATAATATTTCTCCAGCTTATCTTTGTCCTAAACCAGCTTTTGAGAAGATTTTTTTGCTAACACAATTTTCTGTTTTGGAAATTCTCCATGCTGACCCCTCCCACTTCTCAGATAAGAGGACAGTGGTTTTGCTCCTCTAAGGCAGAATACTGATGGCACAGTAATAACTGTTCACCTTCCACKGCCCTGGTCAAGAGTCCATCTAACATTGCCCGAGAAGAAAACACTTTGTTATTCCTCGAAATACAGCAGACCGTAATTTTAGAAGCATTGCTGCAAATGAGCAGTTAAAAATTATTTATTTTCCTKTAACTAACAGTTTAAAATCTGTGATTAGAGAAGACTAAATATCACAGATTAGCGTTTTTTTTCAACAAGATTTTTGTGAGTCTGCTTTTAATGTGCACTGGTGAAGACTTCAGGTATATCAAAAAAAGGCTGTGCAGTTTTCACTTTTAAGCACCTGATATCTAAAGGAAAACGTGGTTTTGAATGTGTCTTTGAGTTCCTTTTTTGTTGGGYTAGCGTCAAACTGATGGGATGAGGAGAACAGCTAATAACCTGCATTTTGTTTGGTTCTGCACCCTTAATGAGAGATAAATGTAAGTATCCTATCCATTGTGTCTCACTGTCCATCTGTCTGTTTTTCTAGGAGGTGATTTCCTGTCATTTCTAAGAAAAAAGAAGGATGAGCTGAAAACCAAACAGTTGGTGAGGTTTTCATTAGATGCTGCCTCTGGTATGGCATATCTTGAATCTAAAAATTGCATACATAGGTAAGGAGGATTTTTTTTCACACTGTTTTACTTTTGCTTAATGTAAATGCAAGCTATTTACAGATGTATGGTGTTTATTCACAGGAATGAACCCTATGATTTTTCTGAAAATAGGTCATCATTGCTTGTCTAATACAAAAATATTCATTTGGGTAAAAATAAGTGCTACATTATTTGATCTCTACGGTTTGGTGCTATTAATATAAGTTAAAAATATTTTTAACCATACTGATGTTCATTATAAGGATCCTAATTCCTCCCGTGACAATGAATCATAGCAACAAGTAATCTGTGAGGTTTATGTCATGTCTGAAATTTACAAATACTTGTCTGGCCAGCAGAAAAGTTAAGTTACATCTGAAGTGTGATTCAGAAAAAYGTGCGGGTTTTTTTAGGTAATAGAGAAGAAGTAACTTTCTGTATATTAAAATGTTAATAGCCTGGACTGCTTTCTCTGAAATATGGAAGATTATCAAGCATTATGCTGTTGGAGTTTCTTAGTTCTGTTTTTACCATTCCTTTCTCTTGCTTCTCCATTTTGACTCTGCCATTGCCATTGCTGTGCTTATACTCCATTTGTATCAAAGGGAATGGAACTAATTTCTACCTGTCTTTTCTCTTGGAATAGCACAGTATATACCTTGCTTAATGCTRTTGCTGAAATATGAGATGTAACCATAATGATGATCCATTTTGCAGAAGAATTATGAAGAACAAGCTTCCATTTTTGATGCTGATGTCTTCCACTTTGTAGAATATCTGTAGGTGAACTGTGTGACACCTCACGTACATAATCAGCCCATCTGGGATTTAACACCTCTCTGGTGAATGCTTYTATTGGATACCTCAGCAGCATTTCTTTTAGATTTTTATCAGCAGTGCATGAGTCAGTTGCAATCCTGCACATCAAGTAAATCGAACCAATTCTGCAAGATCATGATGTATAAGAAGCACAGAGACAAAAAACCCTAACTCATGATCTGAAACTATGGAATATTCCCTTAGGGAAATCCAAGAAAGGGACTGTAAGCATTCTATCATGATAGAATGTGTTTCAGCCTGGCTCTGTTTGTCAAGGATGTAATGGCATAAAAATCAGGGCAAGTAACAGCATTAGTGACTTACACTAGCCTCATAAATGCTCTAGTACTTAATAATTCCTCTAACTGTTAGATCAGTGTTAAATCCAAAGTGCCTGTTTACACCTCCTRTGTTTTTAGAAAATGAAATCAAATATAAAAATAATAGCTTGTTAATTGAAGTTCAAATTTCAATACTGAAAACAAATTGCAGTATTTATTCATTAAATGATGGCATGCTGCCTACAAAAGATAAATAGGTTTTTTTAGGGTTTTTTTTGTTTGGTTGATTTGTTTTTTTTTTTTTTTTTTTTTGGTTTTTTTTTTTTTAATTTGTTTTTTTTTTGCTTAAATTGGAAAATGATTGCACTCCTGTGTGGAATGAAACTGTTGTAGTTACTACAGATTACAGCATGGCTTCACTGTGTCTCTGAAATTTGCACTGCTGGTTGGTRAATAGGAACTGCTATTCCTAAGATGTGTATACATCTGATAGTGATAGAGTGAAGTTATTTCAGAGRGAAGATATGTATCTACTGTCTTACCATAAGATTTCATTGTTTCATTGTTTCAGGTTAGCTCTGTAGTAGTGTAGTCGTGTAGTTCCCAAGTCAGGAAAAAGAGCTGAAATCTGACATGAAATTTGATCTGTTAGTGCCATAGACTTGCCAAAGCACACAGACTGGGTTGCACACACTATAGTACAAGGAGAGAAGAAATTCTTCCCCCTTGTTCACTTTTAACTTTCAGAATATTAATGAAATTCATTTATTATYGCAGGTTGTCACAGAAGGTTATCAGAGAGAGCTAGCACTTTCCTTAAAGGAAGAACCAGCATTTTTAGGAAACCTATTCTGAATAAAACTAGTTTTAAAGGGCAACCAAGCAAACAAAGTGTGTTCAGGAAAACGGCTAACTCTTAAAAACACACAGGTTTGTAGGTCAAAATACGCATTTCCAGTATAAGTTTACTAGTCTTACTTTCTTTGGTATACAACATTACTTTTTGGTTTATGTGGTTAGCCATAGCATGTGCTCACTTTATTTATGAGTTAATTCTTCTAAATTCGATAGGTAAACATAATGAAAATTCAGAATCAGGAGAGGAACCAAGTTTAATGATTTTTGCAGTTGTGGTGAAGAAACTCCTGGGTAGTTTGGTTTGTTGGTTGGGTTTTTTTGAGTTACTAATAGAGGTTGATTAACAAATGGTTGATCTAGGAAAGTAGCCCATGGTGTTTTAAAATGTGTTTGACCAAGGCCAAACTGCAATTTAGTAGGAATAGCATACATAAAATTTTGTGAGGTCTGTTCCTTTTTGGGGAATTTGAGCCCTGATCCAGGATTTCTGGACACCKGAATGTTCTGGAAATGGGGAATGGCTGAAGGTACATCAGTCTAGAACCCCTGTCTGTCACAGAAACACAAAAATGCAGGGAAATGTCAAGCTGTCTTGTGCCCTGTGAGAAAGTTTTTAGGTGTTCTGACTCAGAACCCCACTGGAATTTCCTTACCCAAGCACTCAAAATACAGCTATGTGGCTGCATGGTATGTGTAAGGAATCTGTGAGCCTTTGCTCCCTCCTTTTTAGGTCAGGTAAGGCAGATTAATCATGTGCAAATTTAATGTTGACAGCAGGTAAATGGGAATAGAGCAATTTGATTCATAGTAGGAGGAAGCTTCAGCACTCTGTGAAAAGAGTGGTGGTTTTGTGAAAGAACATTAAACTTGTTCTTTATTTGTCAAAAACTTCATCTGCTGAAAATGGTTCTCAGGTGAAAAAGAGGTTAGAAAATTAACTGGAGAGAAAATGGACTAAGCAGTGGTTAAAAAAAAACCCTGAGTCTTTTAATTCATTTAATGGTCTGTAGGCTTTGATTACTATTGCTTAAAGATCAGTAACATATAATTAGAATAGTTTCTGTTATGTAGATTGCAGTAAAATAAAATTGGTTTGCTTCATGCTGTTGTCTTTCTGCAGTATTCAGTTTTTTGTTTTAAGGGTTTTTTCAGAATCCCACCTTATTTTTTTTGTTTTTTAGGTGACTAATTTGGTACCATGTGTGTTTGAATAACTGTCAAGGGCAGGTTTATTAACATTATTTTTAATGTTTCTCTTTAGCTGTAACAGCAATAACTTCATTTACCCTTTATATTTAAAAATTCTACCCAAATTTGTATTGGATTTCAGAACTTAYGGCCTGACTTACCCTTTCTGTATGTGAGACCCTGCCATAACTAATGTGCTGTTTGTTTTCTGGTTATTTTATGGGTTAACTATTTCAGTAGGTGATTATTGAATGATTATTTGATCTACATTTTCAGTTCCTCTGGCATCTAGATATCATTTGTTCTTTGCTCTCTCTTTTTAAAGAACAAGAATGATTGAGCTTAAAGGAGAAAAAAAATGCTGCATGAAAAGATGTTAATAAAAAATGAGTGGGTGAACATACACAGAAGAATGTTGTCATTTCATCTTCATTTAATTAACATGAGGTTGAAGAATTGTTTCTTGCTTTTCATTTTTACCATATGCTATTGTTTAGATAGCTCAATTTTTCTGTTAATTAGAAGCAGATGATAAGGATGGAAAGGTGATAATTTGGGTTTAATAAGCATTTGTGAGTGGCCCTCTTTTCCGCTATTTGATTTGCATGTGGTGAATTCATTTGTCCATAATTTTTGTTCTTTCTTCAAAGCAGTCTTGGGGGGCGTTKGGAAGGAATTTAACTACTCTGACTATTGGATGTCAGAGGGACATCTTCCACAAGATTAAGCTGTTTTATTTGCAATAGAAGCATTTCGTGTGTGAGAAAACAGGAAATAAGGTCAAGTTCTGCTTTCAGTCAATGAATTTATCGTTCAGAAGTCTCCCATATTCTGAATTAAAGATGTGTTGGTTGGCAAGATGTGTTTGCTGGTCTAGTTCTTCCATTTTTAGTCACTTTGCTACTGCTTATTTCTTGACTTAGTTTTGTAGCTGCTAAAAATCCTGTGTTGTGTTAAATCTGGCTGGTTTACTTCCATGTTACGAAATCCTGACTCTGAATATTAATTCAGGATTTCTACAGTTTTCATTAGATGTGTAGAATTTAATTTAATTACATATAAATTGCTAGAAAAATACYTGCTTCCCTGCTACTAATCTAGTTTAGCTGATCTGCTCTATCAGAGCGKTTTTTTTTCCTCTCAAGTTTGCTAACTGCTAATGTCCAGAATTTTGGAAAAAAATGTCAGAACCCTCTCATAACCGTGAACTTAAGAACTATTCAAATATTGAAGTCTTTCATTTCCTGTTTCTAACTTTCATCTTCTGTTTCTACCTGGAATAATAGTTCAGCTACCACAAAAGGGATGAAAAGTAAACCTTTTCAATTTAGCATAAGTTCTGCTCAATTCAGTGTGTTTCAGGAGTGATTCAAATCTCTGGGGAGCAGGGAGTTTAGCTCCAAAATGGAACAGGTCTCCATCCTAAGACAGGGGAACAACCTATCTGCTTGATTTCTCTGCCTAAATACCATGGAAGACAGCAGCTAAATACTTGATATGTGTCCTTGGGAGGCTCCACACAACCCAGTGTTCCCTGGAATGGCTGCTTTAGTTCTGTTCTGCAGTAGYTTGGCTTCCTTGAGCACAGCATGTWTCTCTGAATATTGCATTTCTGAAGCCTGTATTGCAGTTTCTGCAATTTTCTCAGTAGGTGTATGACTTAGTAAGAAAGACTGCATTTTGGTGGTAAACCATATGAACTCTACAGAGTTTAGTGCCAGCATTAATTTGCCATTATTAATTTTCTTTTTATGATTCATTCAGAAATTACATGTATAAAAGTGGTGATGTGAGATTCCTTTTCTATAGCTTTCTTTCATAGAAAATTTATTTTAAAAAAATTGTGATATTATTGTGATATCTGTTTTTGCT